ATGTCAATCGCATATCGAATCAGTACTCTTTATTCCGATTATGAAAACATAAAAGGTCGATCTCATTAATCGCACGTTGATGAGTTGATAAAATTCCACAACGCCAATTCAATATACTTTCGCAAAACAATCATCAACTCGATTTGATGTTGGCAACAACGCATATTGAAATTTATGGTGCCCTGACGACTCTGGCGAAATGGAACTCGAGTACACATGCAGACAAAGCATTCACTGAGATTTTGGAGTGGAATCGCTTGAAAATGAGTGATTAATACATTCCGCACTACAAAACAGATGGAGGGACAGTATGCCAGGTCGCACTTCACTGATTTATTGTGATAGGCAGAAACGTGGTTTGCCCTCCATCGACGCGTATTTCAGACTGCACACTGCGCTCGCTTTCCCTGCCTATTCCGCACATCCGAAAAATTTCAACGTTATTGCTGCATCCCCATCAAGAGTTAATTCAAGCGCAAAGCTTGAATTAAGCGCATCTAGGCAAACACATGCTTATGTGTGGGTGGTGGATGTTAGCTTGTTTTGAAGAGATGCAAAACAACAATCACTTCCACCTTTTGCAGATGATTTCCCTCGAGAGAATCTTCACTTTGCTAATTGCAGACACATCAAACAAAGACACACGTTTTCGCAACAAACTCTCGTTCACTTCACATACGCACAACAATTGGACATTAATCGTATCTTGATTTACGATTCGACACAGAATTTCAACGGCAACTTTTCGGAGATAATTTCGTTGTCTGAATGAATTGCTGAATGAGAAGTTTCGTTACCTTAGCGGCACTGTCACTCTTTTTAGCAGACTGAGAGGTTTTCCTCGTGTTCGGTGTTCCTTTGCTGCCAATATCACTACTCTTCTTTGTGAGCACTTTCTGTGGGTTCGTGCTACCCGATTTGGGTGTACCTTTACCAGAAGTCGACGTTTTTGCTGATGTTTGACTGGATTGTCGTGCTGGCATTCCCTTAAACGCAACGATTTGTCATCGATTCTGGATGAGTCTCAATACAATCCAGCTGCACACTCAATATATCCAAATCAACATGAAAAATATGAACTATTTTCAATACAATGAATCATCAATTTCAATATTGTCGAAGAAGTCATAAAATAAAAATTAAAAAANAAAAAACCTTTTTGGCAGTCTCCTGGAAGGCAACTCCTTTGGCCCTTGGCTGATCGGGTCCTGCAACTGTGATCGGAGGTATAGATTGTGAGGGTTGATGGAGTAGCTGAGACTGCTGCTGCTGCTGTTGTTGTTGTTGTTGTTGTAGCGGCTGCATTTGTGTGGGCATCAATGAACTCGGTGGCGATGTCTGAAGGAAGTTCGACGGTACTAGTCCCCTTATACCGTTCAATTCACCCATATAAAAGCCATCTTCGTCCATCTCTCCATATACCGTTATCACATCACCAGCGTGGAAGGACAACTCCACCTGTAAACCACTTCTTCAAATTGTTCACCACCAATCAACTCACATCTCCACAAACTATGCACATAACAATTATCATCTATCGTTACACTTTAACCTTAAGACGTAACTGACTTCTGAATTTACCTGCTCAGCGTCTACGTTAGGGCTGAGTTGACGAGAGTCGTAATCGAATTTCGCGACCATTTTTCGCACTGCTAAACTCTCACCATTCGCCCTACCATACCTACAATACCGCATATTCATATGAGAGATTATTCGCTCATTTCAAAATATTGAATAGAGGCTCTGCGATAGCTGCGACAGAGAGAGTTCAAAGAAACAAAATGTAAGGTTGACCTTGAAGGGTGATATCACATGAAGGAAATAATTATGGAACAGAAACATGTGGTGTGTACCTTACATCCTCACCAGGAGGCACTTCAGTGGGATAACGTTGTTGTGGTTGATGTAGTTGCTGAGGTGGTGGCATTGATCCACCATATTGAACTACATCGTGGTACTGCTCCTGTTGGGGCTTCTCCATTCGACCGTAATCTCTCCTATCGTAACCTCGTTGTGAAGGCATTTCCCTCCCCCCGACGTATCCCCTATCGTCATATGATTTACCCATTTGTTCCGGATCACGTTCTTTCCTCACCTCTCGATAATCCACATCCCTAATTTCTCGCTGATCTCGATAGTCTCCCATATCCCTTCAATAATGAAGCGATTGATTCATTAACAAAAGTTATTTACGACTCTCATCACAACAAAAACATCTCTGTGACTTTAGTATTGCGGAGAATTTGTTTTTATTGATGCGTATCATTTGCTTCTCTCATTCGATGAATATAAGATGGCGGATGACCAAATGAACGGAGAGTGCTGGAAAATGACAATATTCTCATCGGAGAGTTGGTCTTAGGAATAAATATCTTGAGGGATATTCAGGAAGAGTTCATTTAAAAACTGAAATTAGGACCTGTAATCCCTGGATCTTTGATCTTCTCTCTCATCCATATAATCACGTTCACGATCACGCCTTGAGCTACTCGGATCCCTCGAATATCGTGCTTCCCTTACATCTCGTCCATAATCTCTTTCCCTGACTTCTCGTGGCTCTCCTCTCATCTCACGATCCCTCATCTCTCGGACGTCTCTTTGCTCTCGTGCTTCGCGCACATCTCTATGATCCCTCAATTCTCTACCGTCTCTAACATCCATATCTCGTTCATCCCTGTAATAATCCCTTCGATCTCGTTCTCGTTCTTGAGAATCTCTCGACCTGCAAAAACGAACCGAACTGAAAGCATGACACGACCAATCTTATCAAACCCCACCAAAAAGCTATAAACCAACCTATAATCACGTGAATAAGCGTAATAGTCTCTGGGATGTCGTCCATTCGAAGGGTACGCATCATACGGAGGTTGCTCGTCGTGTTCACCACCTCTGGGCATGTACTCACCACGCGACGCTATCGGTGCGTTCGTGGCAGCAGCTTCATGTAAACGTCTGTTCGAAGTGAAGTAGTCAATAGGCCTGGTCGGAAGTGAATGGTCTCGATCTCGACGTTCCAATGAAGATGCATAATATTCGTGTTCAATGGCTGATCGGTAATGCGGTACACGTCTATCGCCAGCATGATCATAACTTCGTGATTTCAACGATCCCCACCGCATCCGTCTCAGCGATGGTTCAGGCAATGCATCGGAACGACGTCGTTGTGGTAGTAAATCATCTTTCGCGATCTCGATCACCATATTCGATGGCACCAAACCAATACGATGCCCAATTTGGCCCGTGTAGAAACCATCCTGATCCACCTCACCAAACACCTCAAATCGACAGATAAACTTCGCCGTAAATGTTAACAAACCAGTGCATAACAACTGAA